AGATACTAAAATATCCCAAAATATATCCTTAACTAGTATTGTGATGGACCAACAACAATACTACTTAAGGTCTACGTAGAAGAGGCCCATGCCATAATTTTCAGATGGGCCCAAGATTATTTAAGGTCTATGCAGGGCCGGAGCTAGAACCTTTCACTCAGTCACGTTTTTGGAAATGGATCCCCTCCTTGAAAAATACTTTAATGCTCATGGTCATGCACGGACCCTCGGTATGTCCCTACTCATATGATACCACTATTTGATTAAATGTTGACACGTATTTATATAATTTAATGAATTAATTGTATTTATTTATGTGATAAGATATAACTGATTAATAAGACCAATGATATGGTATCATTAGTACATAAAAGTCTTTCTCAGTTTGAAGGGGTCCAATGCACCAAACAACGTAGTTTTGTAATGTCACAGTGTCACACCACTCATGCAACTATAGTTTGCTTGTCCAATGTCTTGGCTTTTTGGCTAGCTATTTAATTCGTACTGTCCGGGAAACATTGGATTCTGCTGTGTGTGAATCTTCCACCAGGTTTCCTCCTCCATTGCTAGCTTTAAAACTTACTCACCCTCCATTTTTAATGACACTGACAACATAATTGTTACATGCAATATATCTCATTTAAATTCCAAGTTTATGATCACTATATCTACATGTTACATAAAATCTTTAACGACAAGTACTGAAGCATCCATGTTGAACACGTTATACAGACATAAGTACAGTAATAGTTATTATTTATACTATTGTTTTAGAATAAGTGAAACGCCTGTATTAGACACTAAGACACTATTTTTATCTTACAAAATAGAGTAAGAATGTTAAATAATTTACTATTCAATTAGTGGAGTCCATATGTTCATTGTTTTTATACGTTTTTGCACTAGACATATATATCACAGTTCATGTAACATAAACTAATAGAGTAATATGATATCTTGCTCATGTCCATTTACTTAAAAATAAGAACGGAGTTATGAAGGGCTAACATGGGTTATAGCTTAGGTCCCAAAAAAAATTAAAAAATAGATAGTATTACTGTACATCAGTTCACAGCCCGATCTATATAAAATACTACTCTTACTCTTAGCTCTGTCCACATGCAATATTAGTCTTTCTCTTAAACCATTCCACTTTGTAATTCTGGCTCTGCCCTTGCCTAAAAAGTATACCATATAATTCAATTTCATTATATTATTGTTTTAAAACGAGTGAAACGTCTAGACACACACACACACATATATTGCATGAAGACACTATTTTAGTCTAAAAAATAGAGTAAGAATGTTGAATAATTTATTATTCAGTGGTGTTCACGTGTTCCTTGTTTTTATACGTTTTTGTACCAGACACATTAGAGTTCATGTAACATAAATTAATAAAGTAATATGATCCATCTCTTATTCACCCGACATACATATAGAGTAATGGTCATATCCAACTGTCACTACACTTGGTGTGGAGATAATTTCTTACTTACCTCTAAGTAAGAGTCTAAGAGATCGTTACCATGTTGACCATTAAATATGATGTAAGTATAAGTATAATATATGTATATATATATATATATACATATATGTTACCATGTTGATCATTAAATATGATGTAAGTATAATATATATATATATATATATATATATATATATATATATATATGCACAACACAAGCGTACATGTAATAGGGAAGGTAGTAGGGGCCAGGGAAGGGTTAGGAACCAAAGCCGTGCGGTTAGGCGAAGTTTTCGCAGGGCTTAATTAAATTTGAGGGTGTATATGTATGGATGATAATTTATGACCATATGAAGCCAATACAGTAAAATGAATGTCATAATGGTATGACACCCCACCACCTGTAAAATGGCTCAGGCTCATTGAGATATTCAATAGAATTGAAAGTCGTCATTTAATATACTTTGTAAGAGAGAGAAATATAGTAATATTGTGTGTGTGTATATATATATACATATTCATAGCATGTAGAGCTAGTTGCTAGCACTTTTAGGAGTACAAGGAACCTGTACTGCTTTGCATTTATAATCCATGTTACAACCCCCTCTCTCTCCGCAGTACTCTCTCTACTTCATATTTTCTTTTATATATATATATATATATATGTTCATGCACATATTGCTATAGATGGTGGGTAGGAAGTACAGTGGTGGTCCGTCATGCAATATTATTAAAATACTGTAAAGTGCTTAATTCCAACAAGATGGCCTGTAGCTAGCTCCCTAGACATGCATATAGGTTAGGCAACCTTTGGACCACTGGGGACATAATATATAGTATTATATTTTTAATTCCACACACACATATATTTCAATTATTATCAACTTGTTCTCGACAAATTTTCTTCCTTAAAAAGAGATATTCACACACTATTTAATTATTGGAAAAATTACAAATTTGTCTTGCTCTAATTTCATTGACCTTTTGGACAACAAAGTTATACTTTGTATAAATGTTTATAACTGAGACCAGAACCCAGCTAGTAACTTTAATTTTTTATAATTATTATTTTTTCCTTTGTTTTTTCCTTAGTAATTAAGATGTAGGACATTGTTGAAAGTAGTCCTTATGATGGAAAAGTAGGATTAATTTGTAATTCTTTTCTTTATATTTTAATTATAAATTATATAATTAGCCTTGAAAAGTAAGTTGCTAAGAGTAATTGTTAAATGCACCATAGTTTTTCGGTAACAACTTGGTGTATGTGGGACGGATGATTGTATGCGACCGGTGATAAATTATGAACACTATCCTCCTCAGAAAAAAAAAATTAGGATAAACTTTATCTTGACTTTTATTTGTTTCTTTTTCCTTTAACGTATTAATTAATAAGGGTAAAGTGTCTAAAAAAAAAAAACTGAACTATATTGGAATTTGCAAATAATCCTCTTGAAATATATTGTGTACCAATGATTGAATTATATTTTATTAAATGATCATAATGTCATTTCTTATTGAATTAATTAAACTTATATTAAAAAGTTCATACTAATCTAGATAGCCGGAAAACATATCGCGTGTAATGTCCCACATCACCAAACTATGTAAATGCGTATTAAAAAATTGTGAATACCAAGAGAAGAGTGTGCAAAGTGAACAATATATACACGATGCGAGGTAGGGTTGTGACAAAGTGGTATCAAACCCAATCCCTAGTCGGAAATGGGGGGTGTGCATAAGCCCATGTGGGGGATCAACCAAAAGTAAGTTGTGGCAAAGTGGTATCAGAGCCGATCCCTAGCCGCCGGGGGGGGGGGGGGGGGGAGTGCTCCTTAACTATGTACACTATGTACACGCGTTTTGAAAAACCGTGATATTAGTGCGGGTTGGCCTCAACCTTAACTATGTACACGCGTTTTGAAAAACCGTGATATTAGTGCGGGCTGAGTTTTTTGCGATCTGACCTAAAAACTTAAGTAGTTAGGTAGGGTTAAACCTAACCCATATATACACATTTCACTTCCCATCTACATGGATCCGATGTAGGATAAGACTCCCTTTGTAATATTCTCCGCCACCCGAACTTGCAACGACCATCGAGTCATTCTGCCTACCCGAGCGAGCTCACCTGGACACCTTTCGAGACTGGCGCTTGGCGTGAGATCAGATCAAGGACTGAGTCTGGCTCTTAAACCAACTGTAACGATTTGGGTACGTGCTTCGCTATTTGATCCAAGAACTTAATCTGTTAGATGATGCTAACACTCAATCTATATATTTTCATTTCACTTCCCATCTAAATTTGACGGGGAGAAAACTCCTCTTGAAAATGGTCAAAACTAACACTACTCTTTCATTTAATGGTAAATTAAGAATCAATCCAATCCAAAGAAGTACTAGACCTGCTAAGAAAAATTAAGCACTACTCTTTCATTTAATGATTAATTAAGAATGATTAATTAGAAAAATTAATGGGTGACCTTGAAATAGATGTAGAAGTAAATATATGGCCAAAGTAAGAGCACAGAGGAAGTGACGGATGGACCCTTTTTTTTAATTATTATTATTATTATTTTTTAAGTTAAGGGTAAGCTTGTATTAATAGATAAAATGTACGCACATGGGACCCCAAAGGGAATGAAACATAACAATACAATACAAAATACAAAACAAACCAAGGCCACAGCCTTAACAACACTCCTGCCAAACACTGAAACTATTGCACCTTAGGGAATGGACCTCTTTGGCTCTATAGTCTATTCACCAGAACTTGAATATAATATAAACAACTTTTTATATACACACACACACGTACAAATATATATATATATATAAAACATCGAGAACAATGCTTACATGATTAAACAATGATTACATGATTAAACCATGCATCAACTAAAGAATTCTGACGAGTGACGATTGTGTGTGTGTGTGAGAGAGAGAGAGAGTATAAAAGTGATGAGGAGCAGACAACTTGTTGTGCCTCCGATTGCAGGAATTTCCCACCCTTCAAGAAGGAGCTTGCTAATATCTAGTGTGCAATATTGGTACGGTCTCATGCAATTGATGTCAAGGCAACAATGCACAGTTTTCAATTAAATCTTGAAGCCTTCACCTTTCAATTGAAGAATAAATAGATATTTTTTTCTTCTTATATATCAATAAAATCTTCATCGGTTGGGAAAAAAATTGCAGTATAAAATCAACACAATGTCCTTCCAAAATGACATCTAAAATACGTGAGACCACTTGTTCATTTTGCTCCAATTTTCCAACTAAACTTATATCATCTGGTATATTCCAGCCAGTACTAGCTATCACATCATCATGTGCTCCATGTAGATAATGTCTTGTCACAATAAGGCCCAGCCGGTGCACGAGCTCACTGGGGGATCTAGAGAGGATTTTATATTCGTAACCTAACTTCCATATAATAATAAATGGACCGTTTACAATGCATAATATATTATTATTTTTATTAGCAAGAAATTCACACTCATTTGCAAAGACAAAGAGTACAACGCTTGGTCAATCCATAATTTATTGAGGATAACTTTTAATACATTAGTTATTGCTAATGACCTTCATATGATTAAGCTAATCTCCTAGTTAGTAGCAAGAGCAATTATAAAGTTGTTTAACATTACAGGCTACAGTTATTCTCAGTCTACCTCCTTAATCTCTCCCTACCACTCCTAGGGTTAACATTATTTGGGCTGATTCAGAACACAGGCGACGACCCCGACGCCACGGAGTTCACGAAATTCAGTACATTGTTCCAATAATTATTGTTGTCCTCTAAGTTGCCACTGCAACTCCCTCCGGCTGCGTCATCGGAGTTTCCGGTGACGTTATTGTCGTGAGAATGGTCTAGTAAGATGTCCGTGAAGCATTCCATGAAATCTGGAAGTGGCAGGGTTGCGCTTGCTGTCTTCAAAGAGTCCACAGCCAATGCAGCACTACTATCATTTGAGTATGCTGCCATGTCATGAAGCTGCATGGGATTGTTCTCCATCTTTTCTTTGAGCTCAAGGAAGGTGTTTGACTTTCCTAACCCCATACCTCCCATCAATACCAAGGGATTCTCGGTGAACGAGCCTACTGCCGGGAACGGGAATGCAGTCTCTGAGAAGTTCAACGTGGAAGTGGGGGACTCGAGGTCGCCAGTGGCGGAGAAAACCCCGTTGGAAATGGTGTTTTCCTTTATTGACTTCGCCCACGACCCTTGCCAGACTTTTAGCACGTCAAGGCACAGGGGCATCGGTCGCGATAGCGGTGGCTGTGGTGGTGGTATGGCAGCTTTGTTGAGTAATGGAGCTGAAGCAGACGAGCCGAGCTGGGGCTGGAAAGGGTTAGGGCACATTAGCTTCGATTCCCGGACCAGCCGGGCTTCGGCTTCAAGCCGAGCATTCTCCCACTGAGCCATGTGACTTAGGTTGGCTGCAACCTTGGGCTGGAGGGTGTCACTTTGGGGCTTGTGAGTCACAGGGTCAATTCCCAGCTTTGTTAATCTTTTCTTAATGTGTGTGTTCCAGTAGTTCTTGATCTCATTGTCAGTCCTCTTTGGCAAGTGAGCAGCAATAGTTGACCATCTAATCAAATTGATTAACAATTGTGAGGGACATATATTAGACATTCTAACACTCACAATTATTGTAAAAAAAAAGAACAGTACAATACAAATTCAAAACAAGTCTGAAAATAAAGTTAGGGGTAGGTGGACGTCTCTTGATGTGACGTGGGAGACTGAAATTTTTATGAAAATAATGATTGGTTATTCAAATTTAAATATAATAATAATTTATATAAATTGTTACCCTAATAAAAAAAATTTACAATAATAATAATAATAATTTGCAGTAATATAAGAAAGAGTAAATGCAAAGCCGTGCATGGCATAGAAATAACGTCCTGTGAATTATTGAATTGTCCTAGTGTTGTCGAGATGTTAATTAATCGTACTACCCTAATAAATTAAAGGTAAAGCTAGCTCAGACACCAAGAACGGCTTTAATTTAATTTTTTTATTTTATTTTATTGCAGGGCTTTTATATATATATATTTACGTTGTTTAACTGTATATATTCTGGTGAAAGGTTGTCCTCTAAATAAATTCATTAATAGATTCTAGTCCATATGTTCTGTACAACAACAGAAGCATATGTACGTTACACATTATATAAGAAAGCTTTACAATATCGGAAGCATATGTGTGCGTTTGTGTATATATATCATAAATAATCTCTTACATATGGGTGAACTTTATTTATATCCCAAATATGAAAACAGTTGGATATGATTAGTTGTAAAACAAGTAATTAACAATATATATATATATAGCATTATATCCAACAGTCGATCATTATGTGTTCTTGTTCATTAGTGTCTAAGAGATTATTACTTATATATGTAATATAATATATTTTTCATTTTAAAATGAATTTTCTATATATATAAGTGAAAATAAATGAAATTTTTTATAGTAATATCATGAAGATCATGCATAACCATTTATTAAATTATATAGTAGTGATAGACATTAGGAAATAATTTTTGTGATGGCTAATATCGAATCAAGAAGCAATATTGTTTGCAATGTTAGTTTCCAATACTTTCAAGAGTTAATACACACACACACACACACACACACACACACACACTGTATATATAAAATATGTTCACCTGTTTCCAAGAAGAGCATGGAGTTGAATGATGGTGGTTTCTTCCTGCAAACTGAACTTTCCTCTCTTGATATCTGGCCTTAGATAATTTGTCCATCTCAGTCTACAACTCTTCCCACATCTCTGAAGCCCTATAAACCCCACACACACAAACACACACAAATACATTAGGTTGATGTATATATCACATAAATCAGAAAAGAAAAACAATATTTGAGCCGATCGGTTAAATGTAAAACACTAGTCGAAAGCTTATCTATCTGTAGATATATATGTTCCAAGTGGAATTCATATCAAAGGGATAAAAGTAATTCCGTTAGTGTTTCATGTCTAACTTATCGACTTTATGATAAATGAATATTTATATATATATATATGTTACCGGCTTTGGCGGGCAAGGCACGCCAGCTTCCATGGCCATGTTGCTCAATGTAAGCCAAGAGTTTCTGGTCTTCCTCAGGAGTCCATGGTCCTTTCTTCAACCCTACCTTCTCACAGCAAGGTGACCTCCCCATTTTGGACCAAACAAATTGAGAAGTTAAAAGTGAAGCCCTTTGGATGCTAAGCTTTGAGAGACCTTAAAAGGTTAACACTTTGTAAGCAATTAAAGACAACAAATCTAAAGAGAAAAGGGAGGATTTGTGTAGTAGAAACTAGAAAGGTAAGTGGACAATATATATAAAGAAGAAGAATTAAATATATGTATCGTTTCGTACCAAAATATTTTATGACCAATTTACCCTGAGCTTTTTTACAGATGTATATTTATTACTCAATCACTCAATTCCACCGGTGTGCAGGTTCTCTAAGTAAGGAAACAAAATGTGACACAACTGCCTGATCAGGTACATCTCACCCCCACACAAAAGGTTTGATGATCACCGTTTATTTGGATGACTGATTATTGATCGGATGGACAATTTTATTTCAAGCAATGTATGTGAGAAATTGAGTTGTATGTGTGAACTGTAAAGCCATAAAACCAGCTGTGTAAAAAATTCTCTATCAGATTCATATAAAAAGGATTTTATATATTTCTTATCTAAGAGCATGGTTGTTTGTGTGTGTGTGTGTCTCTCTCTCTATATATTTATTTATTTATTTATTTTTGTGTGTATATTAGATGCGTCATAATAGATCTACACAAAATTTTGAATTAATTATTTTTAACTTCCAACCATCTGTCATGCCCAAGATCTCACATAACTTTTACAAACTTACTTAAAATAGGGTTGATTCGTTAATGGAATAAGAAAGAGAAAGGTGAAGAGTTTAAAATAGGATTAATTCGTTAATGACCAGAATGAGAAAGAGGGGATGGAGAGAGAAAATATGTTAATGTAACTGCATAAATGGGTGTTGCAAAGTACGCAATAATTTTACACATGGATAAAGTAAAAGTATATCTTAACATCGTGTTAAAAATAATACACATTATATGTAACAATGTATATTACTTTCATCTCATGACTAAATTAACCTTGCAACATTTTTTAAGTTCTCAGTCCATTACAATTTCAGTTTTAATGACCCCAACTCAAGTTCCTAAATTGAGTAAATACTAATACATTGAAGGGGTGGATTCTTATTCTCTAATGAAATACAGTACTAGTGTCCTTTCAAACTATGGCAATTATTAATTAGGACCACGATTTTCTGTTCTCTCGAGGAACAAAAACATAATAGAGTTTTTTTGCTTGAGTACTCTAAAAACATAAATTCGAATTAAGTTGACTCTTTATTTTAAGAGAATTGACTTTTATAATTTTTTAAAATAATTTTATATAATGAGGATTGTTAAATTAAGTTGCATTTTCGACTGTAAATTTACAGTCATAAATCGTGTTGGATAGTTTTAAATGGATTTCACTTCCTCTCTTTTTATAATTGTTTCAAGTCACGTGTTTACGGCTACCGTGTTAATTTTTCACCTTTTTAGTGACTCTTCATTAAGGGTTGTTTTTCTCACTATTTTTCTCTCATCACCTTATAGACTAGAAGACTTTTAGGCTCTTACTGGAAAGGCCTTAAAGCAGCCCATATTATTGATCCACCAGTGGGAGGAAAAAAAAAACAAAAAAAGTGTAATATACGCAAAATTAATCAAATTAACAACAGATAAGATGGATAAAAAAAGTAAAAATACTAATAATGCAATACATGTTCAAAAACCCTTTAAAAGAATAAAATCAAAGTCTAAAAGCGTCTATAAGGTAATGAGAGAAAGATACTAAGAAAAATAGCAGTTAATGAAGAATCACTAAAAATGTGAAAAATCAAAATAAGGGTTAATAAAGAATTACTAAAAAGGTGAAAAATCCATTTAAAACTATCAGTCGCAAGTGCAACTGTGTTTTGCAGTTCTCATAACTTATATAATTTTTTAAATTATTGAGAACTGTTTTTTGAATGACAAATCAAGTATAATAATATTCTATAAAATCATAGCTAAAAGAAGCTTTGATTTTATTTAATCAGTTTTATATATATTAAAATTGTTTTTTTATTTTCACTATGCGTAAAAACTTGTTTCAATTCAATAAAACCATAATGTTATCTATCCAATCAAGTTGAAAATAATTTGCTACCCTTTGATTTTTCATTTAAGAAACATGGTTTTGCTACGTACTATTTAATTAAGTGGAAAATTACAATGACTTCCCTTAACTTAACAGAAATATATACGGTACCCTCACATTTTTTCAAAATTACACTGCTCACTCTTGTTAGAGTTGTCAACTATGTTGAATGATTCTTCTAAAATTACTTATAAGCCTATTTTTAATGATGATTTACACTAATTTTCAAAAAGACCAAACTGCCCCTTTGGTCAAAAGTTTTGGTAACTCTTGTTGGGAAAGTGTTACTAAAATACAAACATTAAACACGGAGTGTTTTTTTTATAATAATATAAGTGTGATTTGTGTGTATGTTTATTAAATTTTAAAGAAAGTCAGTGTAATTTTTTTTATTTAATTAAGTCACCAATTAAAATTTTAATTATGAAAAATCACGGATAATTTTGTCTATGCCTAACCAGAATAAAGATTAAATTAAAAAGTTTTCAACCAAGTTTAAACCACCGATTGGATTTAGTATTACATAGTAAAAGAAACAAATAATCACTCTATATGTTGGCAATTTCGTAATTTCAAGGAGCCTTGGGTTTTCAATAAATTCGGATTCGAATCTAGTTGAGGCGTTCACAGTTCTTTACTGCGATATACAATATTTGGTTGTACCACTCTCCTTAACCTAGTGGGGTGAAAAAGAAAAAAAATAACACATTAATCGTTACTTTGGTTGGATTTTTTTATGATTCGATTCTGTTCAAAATAAGGAACAATTAGTTCATAATTTTGGTTTCAAGTTCGTTAGAATCGAATCGTAAATTAAGTATATATATTTATATATATATATATATAAATATAATATTAAAAAACGATAATATAACATATGTCCCAAAAAAAATAAAAAAATAAAAAAAAATTGGAAGAAGCTGCACACAAACTAATTCACAAAAAGCCAAAGCGACAGCACGAAAGCACGAGAGTCTAACATTTTTTAAAACGGCGTCTTGAGAGCATTTGTATATTAAATTATATCAGGTCATGACATATATATTTTATATTTTTTTATTTATTTAAATTTATATGTAAATATATTCATTATTTTTTTATTTCATTAATAATATATGTAATAAATAAACTAATTTTTCTCATTAATAGATGAATATAATTAATATATATATGGTAGTATAGCAATGCCAGGTGGGGCACACGTAAAATTTAAATAATTAATGTATATATTGAGTAATAGTGTAAGTAATAAATGCACATATGGTAATATAGGTATTTCATATGACTGATCTCTAACATATTTAGCTATATAAAGTAAATTTGTATAGAAACCGTGAATTAAGAAAACAAATTCGCAAATTGTAAAAATTATATTGGTGAATTTTGTGTGTATACGCTCCCAAATCACAAATTTCATCCTCAAAGAAAGTCTGACTAAAGGATGTGCTCTCTTATACTTTTGATATTTCTTAATAGGAGTGAAAGAAAGCTAGACCAAAGGAAAATGGTCTTCTACAAGCCTAAAGAACCATCTCCACTTGTAAAACCTTAGGCTTAGAATGAATGGATGATATTATTCACAGTTTTGTGCCTCGACCTGAACTGGACATTATCAAGAAAGTCTCATCGCTTTGGGGTATGGGAATTGTGCTATGGTTCACCGTGTGACCTGTTAAGAGAAATAAGGAAGCAAGTGGAAACCGACCTTCCTTTTGGTTCTCCTCGAAAACGGCCTTCTTCCCGTGCGAAGATTGAGAGTGTAGTGTGTGACTTAGCACACAAATACATAATAGTATGTTTTTTTTTTTTTTTTTTTTAATAGACGCAAAGAAAATGCTACGGTCAGATGAATTTTTTACTTTTAAATATGATATTTGTTTGACAAAAACAGGGTAATAGATTTTTTTTTTTTGGGTACTTACATATATATACCTTCATTGGGGTTCGAACTCGTACTTAGACACAGGGATGGAGCTAATGAAGGGAGCGGGGGGCACTGGCCCGCCCTCTATAATATATGTAGTAATTTATATATATATATTTTTTGTATATATATGAAAAAATTTATACAGTAAAACTTTTAACTTTTTTCTTTTAAAGTTATCTCATTTTTCTTTCATTTTTCAATTTCTATTTCTTAAAATTCATTTTTTTTACATGCATATTTGAATAATTTTTCTTCTTCTTTTTCTTTTGTATTTTATATTTGTAATGTTTATATATATATATTTTGCACGGTGTCCCCCTAACTTGAAATCTTGGCTCCGTCACTGTACACGTCTCCATTGAGGTTTGAATCTATACTAACATGCACATGCCTCCACTGAAGCTCGAACTCTTGACTTCTATTTAGAAAGTAAAGACTTGATATCGCTAGACCTCTGGCATGTTGATAGATAATAGCTCATTTAATTTTAGATTATAAATATACTTTATTTCTTAATTGAGAGATTAATTATTGTTCATTGAGAAAAAGAACAGTAGTTTGAAATCGAATTGAGTTTTTACGATTTTGTTTGATTCGAATCCAAATCTCAATTGTTTCGGTTCTAATTTTAATTTTTTTAAAATCGTTAAAATCGATTTGATTCAGTTCAATTTCGATTTTGTTTAAAATTGTAATCCAAAAGATATCAAGCCAAAATTCAAGAGATAAAAGGGGCATAGTAGTTAAGAACTTAAAACTAGAGTCTGTGTCTAGGCAAAATGGGACACTGTAGTTGCAATATAAAAGTGACCCTACTACATTTGTGCAAACATACAAATGTAGGGTCACTGTAATTTAATACCAAATTTTATTCTTACCAGTTTTCGTTGAAATATGGCCCCAATATTCGAAGATGTACTTAAAACCCACATTAATGAAGCCCGCACCACAGTAAACTTTATCGGATACAAGTCACAGTCCACGTGTCATGCCCACCTTTATACTTTATGACTTATCAGGACGGGAACCCCAAGTTTTGTAAAGGTCA